CCCAGGTATTCAAAAGTTGGTCCCACGGTATGACCAATGTCTCAATTCCGGTGGCGAATATGTTGAAAAATAGCTGGACACTTGCTGTATCTGTTGCAATAAATATTTCCATGAAATTGTGTTTTGTTTCTGTAAACGGCCCCAGGGAAACTTACTTTGAGGACGCGCCTCGTATGATCATTAGACAGAGCAATATTACTCACTGGGACATTCTGTGAAGAACCATTGACCCGCTGCACAGCTGGGTTGGTTTGGACCAGCATTCCCACCGGATAGACACAACCCCAGACCCGTCCCAGAACCATCATCACACCACCCACAGGCCGGGTCATCCCGGCACTCTACGCAGGTCGGATAAAAACTACAAGCAGATTTGCCTGAAACAACAAAGAACACATTTAGTATGGATGGAAACATGAATTTGTAAATGGTTAAAAGTTTTCGATGTTTCGAGGACCATCTCTGTCCTCATTACCAAGGCTAGTCATAACCGTGCTCAAACTAACCCATTTACATACCTAGCTATAGCTTGTGTATGGATCTGAGTGCGAGCCGATGGGTGGCTAGGGAGCGGATTCAACCAACTGCTCTGTTTGGGGCTGCCTTTAGATTCGTGGATCTCTATATCGTTTGATTAAGTTGATTACCGGATCCCAAGCCCGACCATGTGTGAAGCCGCCTCCTCCTCCTATGTTAAAGTTTCTGGGGTGAAGCTTGATCTCAATAGCCGCTTTTATTATGCAGTCCGCATATCCTGTGGCCTTACGAAAGAAACCAAGGTGTTGTCGAAGTTGATGTTGTGCCCTGTTTCAAACTTATGCTCCACCACCGCAGACTGCTCTGGCTGTCCTAACTGTATATGCCTCTTGTGTTCCATACATCTGGTTTCAATTGATCTGCCCATCTGTCCAATGCAAACTTTTCCGCACTCACATGGCACACAGTATACACATTGCACATGTACTACCTATCAAATTTGTTATTTACAATTTAACATAGCTCATTCACTTTCCAACACTCTCATTCTATTCAGAACACCACTGCAACCAGTTCACCTAATTAAAATGAAGCCTCTAATAAAGTATATATGGGTAAGAATAGTCTGACGAATTTCCTACTCAGAATAATCTAAAACAAAGTAGTACATTACCACTGCCTTTCAACATTACTTTATAATTTGCCACCAGGAAGACCCAAGAAAATAAACTCACTCACTAACTAGCTGTATTGCAGAGAAAATTCTTTGAAAAGTCGACTGTATACTTGGCTTGTCAAAGAATAGCCCACTTTCTTTATGAAACCTGAAGGTTCATCACCGTGTTCACAAAAGACTGCCACCAGAATCTATCCTGAGCTACATGCAGCTAATAACCTGCATCAAACCTCTTGCAAGATTATCAATGAATGTGAAACAAGAAATTATGGTGTTATGTAGGATCATCAGGGCGATGACGGAGGCAGTATGACCTCTAAAACGTTGGTTAACATCGACCAGACTACACAGCGCAACAACCCAGAAGACA